TTTTTTTTTTTTTTTTTTCTTTATTTTTTTATTCATCTTTTATAGAAAAATGAGAACAAACTAAAGAACAAATTAAAAAAAAAAAAAAAATACATAAGATATTTCGTCGTATAAATTAAAAACAAATTAATATAAAATGTTAAAAATATTAGAATATTCTTTTCTATGATAAGAAAATATAAAAGAAATAATAAGACAATTTACGATCATTATAATGTGCATATATGTTATATGTTTTGATGTATGTATTCAAATAGACAAATGAAATTTTGTTTTTATTTATTTTTAAATTATATTAGCAAACAAAATAAAAAACTAAAAAAAAAAAAAAAAATTTTAATAAGTCTAATAATGTATTCTAAAAAAGATTTAAACAAATAAATGGAATAATTAGACAAAAAACTCCAAATAAAAAAAAAGAAAAATAAGATAAACAAAATGCTATTTTTTTTTTTTTTTTTTTTTAAAAAAAAATAAAATATTTTAAATCAAAACAAGAATGATACATTAATTAATGAACATCATAGTGGTGATAATATGAATGGAGGAAAACAAGTAATCGGTGAAGAAACAAGAGAACATGGAAAACAAGAAATCAGTAAAGAAACAAAATATCCTAATTCACAAGATGAAAAAATAAATGAAAATGATATAACTAAAGAAACAATTAATAACGATCAAAATAAGAAAGGCATATTAATTAATGAACATCAAAAAATTAGTGATAATGTGAGTGGAGTAAATAATGAAATCGATAAAATAATAAGAGAACATGGAAAACAAGATAAAAAAATGAAAAATGATGATGATATAGAAGAAACGTTTCATTCTGATCAAAAAAAGAATGATAAATTAACTAATGAACATCAAAGTGGTGATAATATGAATGGAGGAAAACATGAAATCAGTAAAACAACAAAAGATCCTAATTCACAAGTTGTAAAAATAAATGAAAATGATACTACAAAAGATACAATTAATAACGATCAAAATAAGAAAGGCACATTAATTAATGAACATCAAAAAACTAGTGATAATGTGAGTGGAGTAAATAATGAAATCGATAAAATAATAAGAGAACATGGAAAACAAGATAAAGAAATGAACAATGGTGACAATAAAGAAGAAGAAATATTTCATTTTGATCAAAACAAGAATGATAAATTAACTAATGAACATCAAACTTATGATAATATCGATAGAGAAAAACAAGAAATTAGTAAAACTATAAAAGATCCTAATTCACCAGATGAAAAAATAAATGAAAATGATATAACAAAAAAAACAATTAATAACGATCAAAATAATAATGATTCATTAAAGGTACTAAAAAGTGATAAAAACAAAAAAAAAATAAAAATATATGCATATTTCATAAAAGTTAGAATACAATTTATATAATTTTTTCTTTTTTATTCTTTTTCTTAAAAAATTATTAAGATATTTGTCATTATCTTTATATTTCCTTTTTAGATTTTTTTTTTTTTTTTTTTTTTTTTTTTCCTTTCGTAATAAAAAACATATTGTTTTATTAATTTTTAAAAAGTTTTTATTTTAAGATTTTTTAAAATATTTTTAAGGATAAAAAATAAAACAAGCATTTTTTTTGTTTTTTTATAAGTTTATAAATTATGAAAAACCTAATAATTTTTTTTATATAGTCGGTAAATGTACACAAAAAAAAAAAAAAAAAAAAAAAAAAAAAAAAAATGTACTAACATATAAATAATTCTTAAAGTATTTATTTACAGAACATAAAAAAAAATTAAAAAAATGTAAGATTCAAAAAGATTTAACACACTGAAAAAAAAAAAGCAAATAAAGAGAATATGCCAAAAAAAAAAAAAAAAAAAAAAAGAAAAATTTTTATAGTATTTTATGGAACAATT